GGGGGGGGGGGGGGGGGAATATTCCAACATAGTGGAGAATGGTGGAGATCCCCTGGCGGTAAATCTAAGCAGTTTAACAGTACAAACGCCGATTTAAGTATAACTTGGTACCCCGGGAAACAAAATTCACTGTTATTTCAAGGAAAGGACGGCATAGTACTTAAGGATTATGTAGTAAAAATGTTAGAAGAACCAAACATTGACAGTCCTAATTTGAATGCAAAGTTTTCGACTCAAACGGCTGATCCAGTTGCCGAACCTTGTGAAAAACTGTGTGAAATCGTTGCGGATACTAAGGCTGCAATTGAGCCAGAGCTATATGTACCTAGTCATCATACATGTGATTGTAACCCATGTGGAAATGACATTAAAAACGTCAAGTTAGACATTGAAGATTTGCAGAAACAAATTAGTTCTATTAACAATGTTATTGATTCTACAAATGGCATTATAGAGTCAATGAGTGAAATGTTGCTTCCCGGTGATGGCGGTGGTCTTACTCATGATCGCAGAACTGAGGCTACGGTAAATGAGCTGTATAAAATCATTGATGAGAAGAATAAAGTAATTATGGATCGTGATAATACTATTAGGGAACTTAAAACTAAATTATTAGAGGCCGAAAGTGAGAGAGACTCACTAAAACAACAAAAATACTCATTAGTTACGCAAGATACGTCCCAATTAATGACACAATAGAAAACCAACGAAGCCTGTCGTCAAAAACAATACCTATTGATAAGACTACGGGTACAAGGCACGAGAATAACACTAATATTAGGCTGAATAATGGTAAATCTCATGTCTCTAACTCGGCTTTGCAAAATATCCCAGTGCCTGCTATAACAACCCTGAAGGCCCTCACGACCATGTCTCTTGCGGTATCAAAAAATAATCCAGAAAATTGGTTAGGAAAACTGCCTCTCTTGGAGAAAAAGCACAAGGCATCTTGTACTCTCAAGTCTGCTAAGAAAAATATTTCACAAACATCTACCATGAAGACAACAGATGCTAGAATGACGGCGAATGCCATCAAGACCCCAATACAACCTATGTCAAAAAATACTAAGCATAAATGTCTCCCAGTAGATTGGATGGAGAGGTTGCCTCTCATGGAAGGAAAACCTAAATTGCAACCAGTTCAGCGGCCAAATGATATCAGCTGCCCGGAATCGTATAAGAATGATAATTATTTTTTAAAGCTCAATTGGAAAAAACGGACACGTTTAACACGCAGTCGCTGTCACAAGCAGGACTGGATCAATCACCTGAAGCTTGTCCATCGCACTATGAAACGATAAAAATGCCGATTTCGACAAGAATTACTCATCGACAACAATTATTTTCTAAAACCGCGAGCACCACTCCCCACATTACTACGCTTTATTCTGATAGAAGAAGGTCCCACGAGCCCACAAACTGAATCAAGATATCTACCGATATAAAAACGAATAAACACACTGTTCCTTCATTATTTTTAACTAATGCTTGTCACATTCTGAACAAAATGGATGAGCTCAGCTCAGTTGCGGAAATTAATGATCCTGACCTTATATGTATTTCTGAGACCTGGCTAGATCCCAGCATATACGATGGAGTTATGTCTATTGGACCTAACTATACTCCGTACCGAAAAGATAGAGGAGCACTTGACCCCAGGTCAAGCGGCTATAAATGAGATAACTATGATTTTTTTTTTGTTTAATAAATATTTAATTCAAAAAGGAAGTTTGCCCCAAGAGCTACTGGTTGCTCATCTAGGGGGCTCACTTCACATTTACATACTTACAAATCACACACACACAAATCAATTAGACAATAAATTAAATACAATCAGTAGCTATGTAGAAGAATAACACACAAGGAAATACTGAAAGATGAACTGCAAACAGATTTAAATCTCCTGAGTATGGAAACGTTTTGTTTCTTTTATAAAATTTTGGACGTGGTAAAAGATTTGAAAATTTTCATCCTCAGAAAGTAATGAGGATCCAAACAAAAAAAGCTTTATTATTTGTGAATTGGACAGTGCAAGCCATCTATCAGCAAAAATGCGAGCAGCAGAGGTGAGCAGCTTCAATCTTTGAGCAGCAAAAGTCGGACAATATAAAAAATAATGATTAATTGTTTCAATTTCAAAACCACAAGTACATTTAGGAGATAATTTACTACCAATTTTAAATAAATAATAATTTAATGCACAAGCGTCCAAACGTATTCGAGTATGAATGATAGATGAATATCTATCAAGAGAATAATTAAATAGGGTTGGACTTGATTGAAGATTGAAAAGGTCTAACAAAACTTTTTTGAAACGAGAAATTGACGGAAGATTACGTACAGATGTATCTAGCCCATTCCACAGTTTGGTAGCAGATGGAAAGAAAGACTTTTTAAAACGCTCAGTGCGCACTGGAAACAATGTAAAATCAGATTGCGATCTCACAGAATAATGAGTTCGCTCGAGCACCTGAGAAGGTAATAATTCTTTTAAATAATTTGGAACAAGATTGTTAACGATCTTAAAATAAAAAATTAATTTATGTATACAACGTCTAAGCTTCATATCTTCCCAGCCTGTTTCTTTCATTAGACTTTTTCTACTGGTGCCCTTCATGGCACCCGTTACGATTTTAGCAGATTCATATTGGACAAATTCGAGAAGATCGCTCTCACCGTCCATGCAACCGTCCCACAATACATCAGCATATTCCATCACGGGACGAACAAGAGATTTATATAATGTGTTTAAAGTTTCCCTATTTAATTTATACTTTAATCCTTTAGCATATTTAACCTCTGGCATGCCTTTTCATATACTTTCAAAATATGAGCTTTCCATGACAAAGTACTAGATAGTGTGACGCCGAGGTGGGTATGCTGTGAAACCATAGCAATTTTTTTACCTTCATAAAATAAATCAGGATGATATGGCTTAATCCTTTTGGTTGAAAAAATAATCGATTCGGTCTTAGTTGGGTTAATTGTAACTAACCATTGGGATGCCCAATCCTTAATTGAAGTAAGATCATTATTCAACTTTATCGAGGACATATTAGGTACATCAACAATATCAAGGATTGACGTGTCATCCGCATACAAAAAAACAATCTGACTGAAGATTTTTAGTTATGTCATTGATATATATCAAAAATAGCAAAGGGCCAAGGACAGAACCCTGGGGAACACCCGCTTTTATACTTTCCCACTTAGAAGACTGGCCTTCAATCACAACTCGTTGTTTTCGATTTGATAAATAACTTTTAAGCCAACATAACAGTGGATCCTGAATACCAATTACTTCAAGTTTGTATAAAAGCCCTTTGTGCCATACTTTATCAAAAGCTTTGCTGATGTCGAGAAATACCATCCGAACTTCTTTCCCTTGTTCAAGTGCGTGATAAATCGTATGCACAATGTACATTAATTGATTCACAGTGGAATCACCCGGTCGAAAACCGGACTGCAGTGGGTTTAGAAAACCAATTTCTAGTAGAAAATTATATAATCGAATATATGCAATTTTTTCAACAATTTTGGACAAAGAGACTAGTAAAGAAATCGGACGATAGTTGAGCTTCGACTGACGATCATCCTTTTTAAAAATTGGGATAACATTTGCTAGTTTCCATTTGTCTGGATATTTTCCAGATGAGAAAG